TTCACATCAAATGGAGTTGAAAAAAGTTTCAGGTAGATCTTGCATTTCTGGAATTCAGCAAACCTCTCATTGAATGATGTAAAGAGGATGTTAACTTGGTCAGAGTAATCCATTTTCATATGTGGGTATTTCTCTTTCATGGCCTTGCAATGTGGAAAGTTTGTAAAGTTCTCTGATTGCATGTGGGACTCGAAAAGTAATAGTTTGGTCATAAATGCATTGATGTTACTTGTCAATTGAGAAACAAGTTGCATCTTTCCTTGCAATCTCAAATTAAGGTCGTTTAGATAAGCAGCAAGGAAAGCTAAATCACACTGCCATCTTTGTCCCTCCAAATTCCTTGTAGTGTTCCCCCATTCTTTGAGGAAAGTGATAATAGGCCCCAATAGCTCCACAAATCTCTTGAGGACTGTTGCCTTGCTCAGCCAACGAACTTCAGTATACGTGGGCAGGTCAGCATAATCAGCATCTATTTCTTCAAGAAATGATGTGAAGAGTCGATGGTTGAGTCCATGACGGCGGATTAAGTTCACAGTATCATAGACATCTTTCAGCAGACGTTCAAATCCCAGCTTCTTTGCACAAAGTTGCTGTTGGTGAATTATGCAATGATACTGGACTAACTCCTTTTGCCTGTCCCCAAGGTGGTTTTTCAGCAAGGTGACCATGCCATTCTCACATCCAACCATAGATGGTGCTCCATCAGTGGCAATGCTGGATAGCTTGTCAAAGTCCAGTGCTGATTTGTTGCAAACGCTCAATAAACCAGTAAGTAAGTCAGCACCAGTTGTATGTCCGGAAAGTGATGCCATGCCAAGAAATTCTTCATTCACAATAAAATCTAGTGAAACACTTCTAATAAACACAATCACTTGTGCTGTTGATGATATGTCAGTGGATTCTTCCACAGCCAAAGAAAAATAAGCACAGTTTGCAACTAAAATATTAAGTTGGCCAGAAATGTCTGATGCAATTTGCGAGATTCTCTGTTGTATCGTCATGTGGTTAAGACTGATTGTTTGAAAACACTGTCTTCTCAGGACACATCTCACTTGCGATGATAAGACACTTTTTTATCATATCGCCATCTGTGAAAGGTTTCCCATTCTTGGCTATTAAAGCAGATATTTCTAGGCTGGCTTCAACAGCCGCATCCAATTCTCCAGATTGTTTCTTGAACACATTTTGTTGGCTGATTAGTGATCGTCGTAACGATTCGATTTTCCGTTTGCGTTCCGTACCTTGCAGAAGGAAATCCTTGTGTTGGCTTTCATGATGTCGCTTCAGGTTGAATTCTTTTGGCACTGCTATTGTTCCATTGCACAAAAGGCAAATAATGCTGTTGTTCTGTTGCACAAAACAGTACTTGTTAGTCCACACTTCCACTTCTTGAAACTGATGATTCTCGCGATTGACCTTGCGTTTAATGCCCGGCGCCATACTGTTCACTCTGCAAAACAATGTCTCATTGTGCCGAAAATTCTGAGGCCCGCAACAAATCATGTTTGAGATAAGGCAAGCTAGACTACCACGTGCTTTGTTCTGTATCCACTCTGACCAAAGACTAAAGAGGCGGGGACAGAAGACTATTACGCACACGTGGCCAGGCAGGTCTTAATTCGTTCGACCCCTGTCCGGGCGTCTCCACCATTTCTCAGAATTTGTGAGTCAGATCGTCAACATGCCAGGTGCAGGACACTAATCCATCATAAATGTGGTTACCATTCTTACCTAAATTATATTTATGGCCCGTCAGTTTTACCCCCGTGTTCAGAAATGAATCAAAAGTGATTAACACAGTGCAGTGGAAAATCTGAATATTTTAAATATAATTATTAAAATTGCGATATCTCGTTTCAAATTGGCGCTAGAATCAATCTGTTTTTTTTTTTTTTCTGTCACAAATATATCACAGTTTACGACTGTTAAATTTCAAATAAAATAAAAATTAAAAATAATAATTTAATTTTAAATTTACGAAAAAAAGAATGTAAAAATAAAAGTAAATAAAAAGTTCCAATTAATTTACTACTTAAATAACCTAAATATATCTGTTTTCTTTCAAACAAAAAAAACCGCAGCTTTCTAGCTACACGGAATCATTTTACAACCCTCTTTGTTGACAAGTTTATGGCTTGACGCGGTTTGTAATAATTATTAAATCCAAAATATTTTAATGCAAATGGCTTCCTTTTAGTCGTAATGACTCTATTCCAACTACAGTATTAATTTTCTTGGTCCAACTTAATAATAATAAATTTGATGTGAAAAATTTTTTTTCTATTCTTTGTCTATGGAGAGATATTGTTGTAAATTATTGGTTTTATAGCTTTTTGTACATTCCTTTTTGAACTCTGGTTAGTTTTTTTCTAGTTTGAATGACATTAGGTTGACGAATAAGCGTCTTTTCAGAAAAGATTGATTCAAATTCGACTATACCAATCAGAATCTAGAATGTAAACAAATGCTAAAAAATCGTTATTTTCATGGTTTTTCAGCGCTATTTTCACTTATTTTTGTTATTTGACGCTATTTAGACGAATAGGCAAGTTTTCCGAAGCATAAAATTGAAGATTTCCCGCCAAAATAGAAACTTCCCGATAACATCGGAAATGACGTTCTAACATCATTTTATTTTATTTGATTCTTCAAAAAATCGTTATAATACTATGTATTAGACTTAGAATATTCGATATCTAAACCAGAAAGTGTTAGCTAGAAATAGACTTATTTATAGAACAACCCCCCATTTCTCACCTCAGGGAAAGTCATAAAACAGTTGGGTGCTAATGACTGTGAAAGGGAAAAAGTTCTACACTTAGAAACTTCGAAAGAAGAGATTTGGCCTGTAAGTCCGCGGGCCGCATAAACATTGATAGGGGGCCGTATGTGGCCCGCGGGCCGCACGTTGTGCACCCCTGATATATATATATATATTATATATAGAAATAGATATAGATAAATATAGATAATATAATATTATACATATTATATTATATTGTGTTTATAAGCATTTTTATATATGAAATACAGCTAAAAAACTAATAAAAAGATTTTGTTTTGGGGGTCAGGAATGGATTAATTGATTTTATATTGTTTTTTATGAAAAAATTTGTTTTGGTTTTAGAACAACTTTGAGGAATGAAATAAGTTGAAAACCAAAAAAGTTCACAAATGGTTTGTTTTTCCCTTATTCATGAATAATTCATACACATGTATAAATTTAAGTGCGTTTCAAAAAGATTACAAAAGTTAATTAACTCTAAGTTAATAAATTTCTAGAATCAGAAGAAATCTGATTCTAGAAATTTATTACATAATATAATGTGTAGAAAAAGGGACTGTATTTATAAATCAGAGAATATTATAATATTGCACTTTTTTGTCCACTTGACTACTTCATTCTATCCAGTTAGTAAAAATTTTTGAGGAGACACTGCAGAGCATCACTGGTCTTGAGCACTAGTTTGAATTGCATGGCAAAATCTGTCATATGATAGTGTAAGAACTTTGCTATCATATGACAATGAATATATGAATTATTTATATGAATGAACAAATATATGAATAATTTCCATTTCATCATTTATCACTGCCACAGGTAGTTAGTTGTACAAGCATACTAAGTTCTATCATATGTGATGCTATTGTTAATTATTTTGCTTTGAAATTTTAATTGTTTCTTTTTCTTATCTTTTTATATATACTTGTAAAAACTTTCATTATGGTAAGATATTTCCTTGCAAGTATATTGCATTTTTTTGACAAACAATTTATTTTGAAAGAATTTTAATGAACAGAGTTTCATTCGTGTTGTATACATAACAAGTATACACAATCAAAACATTAAAACTCAGCACATAAAATGTACTTTAATGCTGAAACAAACATTTTCTACTGTTTTAAGCAGTCATTACCAGGCTAGGTTATTTCTATAATCAAATGTGACATGATGAAACATAGTTTATAAAATAAAATACATTGTTGATTGGTGAATGCCTTTCACATGACAATAGTAGATGATGTAGGAAAAGATAATAATAGTATTAATAGTATTATTAAATGATATAAAAAATAGATTTCCACACAGAATAGGAAGAATTCATCTCCTTAAAACTGATGACTAAGGCTTTCAAGGTGGTGAACCCTTTCCACTAAATTCTATTAAAAGCTTATGCAATAGGATAAATACAAGTAGTAATGTTGTATAAATCTGAAAACACAGATTATAACATAAGAATAAGCATTAAAAAAAACTAATTAAATAATGAAAAAAGAATATACACAAATTATTTAAATTTTATTATAATTATAATCTTTATATATAAGTAGCAAATTTTATAAAATTAAAATCCTTTCTTTTGTTTAAACCATGTCTTTATTTTTAATATCTGTTTTTAGTTCACAATGAAGTGATGGTTTAAGACCTCAGATTATTGACAGATCCACTTTATTCAGTACCATATCCTTTATACATTTATTTGCCAATATATGTTTCAGATTTCCATCCCTCTTCTGTTGACTTGCAATCTTTTTTTTAATATTTTTTTTTTCCAATTCTTTCTTTCTGGTTGTTCTTTTTCCATTTTCCTTTCATCCATCTGCTCCATATGGTATTTCTTCATTTTCCTTGTGGATATGGGCCACATCCACATGAAGAATATGAAAGAAAAATTGCAAGCCAAGAGGAATGGAAACCCAACACACATATTGGCAAACAAATGACACAGTACTGAATGAAGTGGATATGTAGATGGTGTAAAGTCTTAAATCATCATTTTGTTGTGAAATAAAAATAAACATTAAAAATTAAAATATTTTCATCCTGATGATAAGCTTTGTCAGTTAAATCAAACAGAATAAAGATTGAAAAAAATCTTTAGATCATCATCCTTATTCAGTTTGATTTAACTGCTAAAGTTTAATCCACTTGGATAAAAAGTGCTTTATCCAAAAAATACAAAATATTTACTCTATTATTATATTTTTAAAATACTTACATGATGCAAGAAATATGCAGTGACAAGAGATGAAACAACTGAATCTAAATCACAGGTTTCATTTCCTAATACAACATATACTTCTTTAAACTTTTTCAAATTTTCCTTAATAAAAAAAAACATTATAAAATTAATAATCATTCAATATAATCATTAGAATTTTAAAACCTTATTCTGGTTTTATTTAAAAACCTTACATTTTTCTAAAGATTTNATTGGTGGCGGAGTGGAAGCGCTCTATTGTCAGCATCCAAAAAGCCAGATTCACGCATGCGCTTTACAGAGCACCAACCTCACCCGGTTTAGCTGGTGGAAGCCTAGGTTCTCGGGTGGATGCTACACGTATACCGCATCCAATTCTATCCAGGACTGGTTCTGGGCTGTTAGCCGCCTGTCTGCTAGATATTTGGCCACCCTCGCCCGATTACGTGAATCACGAGTAGATTTATAACTTAACCCAACTGATATGAATTTATTGGTATGTTTTTATGATAGTTCTGTATTGACAGGAGTTTAAAAAATCCATTAAAATATTTCATATTTTTATTCCGCTCTCCTATTTTATATTACTCACGGATTTCAATGTTAAACCAGTGATATTACAATTTCATATATCCCATCTTTAAAGGGATGTAGAAAAAAATGTGTACAATTCTTGTATAATGTTAAAAAATTAACTGTTACTTTGACAGCATCATTTACAACTAAATTTAATGAATGAGAGAGATGCACGAGGTACAGAAAAAGATCTAGAATTTATTTTCCTTAAATTTACGATTTATGTATCCGTTTGTCATAAAAATTTGTCTTTCCACTTTTTTCCCGAGACTACAAATATTCGAGTACAAAGTAACTGGTTTCGATTTATTTCTACTTAAGAAGTAGTTAAATAATTAAGCGATTAGGGAATTGGGGACATAAACAAAATCCTGATGAAAGAGCCAAAATTTTACTTAAACAAAAGCTTAACCGAACCATCTCTAGCTGAGTACAGTGGAGACTGATTTCTTTGTATTATTAACGAAATAAAGACAGAATTTTTTCCAGTTCAATGACCGAAAAGTTGTAAATTTTGGAAATTTCTGAGGACACTTGGTCCTAAAATGAATTAGTTAGAAAACAAATGACTATTAAGTTTAACATATTTAGATTTTTACAGCTATGGTGAGAAACATTTAAAATTTACAACAACCCTGTCGTGTCCTTTGATTTACACTAGTGATGCGACAAAACAGGTATTTGACATTGACCATATTGGCACCCTGGGGATTTGGCAGTCAGTGTGTATGCATGCACTGCAACCGTCTCTAATTCCATTCATTAGTCACTCGTAGGGAGCTATTTGACTAAGTGCATTGTTTTAAGATTTAAAAAGTAAAGAATATTTTATGTTATTGTTATGCACGTTTTTTACAAAGCTATATTTAATTATAATTTTCTTTAAAAGTATATTCATACAATTGAAGAATATTTTGTACCAGGTATGTACCGGTACATCCACCACACATTTTATTTCACCAAGTAAGTTTTTATTATTTTATTTTTAATTGTAGCCCTTATATTGTGGCTAGCGATTCGGAATGTAATTGTGATATTAAAAATGCATTTAGAGAAGTCTACGGTTTTTACTGGCTTATCAAATAAATGATACGAATACAACCTAGACCATCACTGACACGCAATTGACTGATTGCCCCTGGCTGTCGGCTTCTTACAGAAACACAGCTTCCCTATCATCAAATGTCACAGCAAGCCACTGCTTTTAACAGACCACATATTTCAACAAAACTCAACAAATACCATAGTGCAGATAGGCCTGTCACCAAGCACCCTGAATAGTGATGTACTGTACTGTAAGATTAAAGATAGATCCTTATAAATCTTCTCAGAATAGTGCTTTCTTACGCAAGATGGTTCTAAAAAAAGCCACTGACACAATCCTCATTTAAACAGACTGCTCCAATATCTGGTGCTCTTTTAACAGGACATGTAAATCATAGGGAAGAAAATCAGGAACATGAGTATTTTCTCTTAAGCAAACTGCTCTCTTATACAATGCTATGTTAAGTGGACCCAACTGTTAAAATTCAAATTAAATATCTATAAATATTTTAAAAGAGAATAACCAATGGTAAGATAAAATAAAAATGCTCTTATTTTTTAAAATTTGTTGTTTTAAAAAATTAAAAATAGGCAGATGGCACTTAGGCTGTGTACACACTAAGCGTTTTTCAACGCGCGTTAAACGTGCGTTTTGAAGAACCAAGAGTTCTATGTAGGCGTACACACTCAAACGCCAAGCGCGCGTTTAACGTGCGTTTATAGATTTTTGTTAAAACGCACGTTTTACGGGCGCTTTGAGATATATGTGCTGCCATGTTACCGTACATGCGATCGTGCGTTTTGCGGGCGTCAGCCAAGCGCTTTGAGATATATGTGCTGAAATGGAGAACGATCATTTCGATACTTATCTATTTATTGATGAAATCTAAAAGAGACCAACCATCATCAAAGGATTTTATAGATATTTTAAAAGAATTAAAAAACTTGAATTTATTTTGTCTTAGTTTTAGATACAACGTCGCAAACATTTCTTGCGTCAGTCTATTTCGTAATATTGGGTGCACCCAAAATTCTCTTTGCCTCTGCCGTCGTCTTTTATAGCGACGATAGAGGAGCCACACACAAGCAAACACTTCCACATCCATTTCCAAACCGAGCCAGTGCGCACGCTCCGCTAAACGCTCGGCGTTAAACGCGTGTTGAAAAACGCCTAGTGTGTACAGGCTCTTAATCACCCAACAGATAACATGGCAGTATGAGTCATCAAGGGTTGGACTTTTCAGATGGGTCTAAAATATTTGTTTCTTCTAAGATTTCAATTATTCAAGTAATGAAATCTTAGAAGAATTAGCTTAGTCAACATCCCCTTTTGATTTAGCTTACTTCACTTTTCTGTAAGAAGTCTGCTTCTACTCAAACATTTCATGTCAGTGATTGAGGCCAATGTAACTTTATTATACATGGTGCACAATGAAGTCCTAAGTCAAACGAATAAAAGTATCTAGAGTTATGGTATTGGTGTGGTAAAGTAACCATGAATACTAGATAATAGACTGATGGTATTACCTTTTGTAGTAATGTTTGAAAGTTAGTGTTCCTATCTCAGAAACTATGAGAAGTATATAAAACAATTATATGAAAAGGTTGTAGATCATCACTGAATCAGTAGGAAATGACATTTCCCAAAAACAGATGATACAAATAGATGGTTAGACATTACGCACAATGCCATCATTTGCATTATGAGAATTATGAGTGGTACACTCTCTCATATTCAAAATATGGCTGTGATGTAAAATCATTATTGCAAATAAACACTCACATGTGGTAATGCGCAGTCCTTTGAAGAGTATCAAGTCAACAAGATTATGGCAAACTCTATAAATGAAAAGTATTATGAGATGGTACTGCTACACAGCAATTGTGAATAAAGTTCTAAAGAAGCTACATGACAGCAGAGATACAAAATATCTTCAGAACCAAAATTTTCCTTGAAAATTATTGCACACAATAATAAAACAATTTATGAAAAAAATAAATAATTAGTACTATATATACATATATAAACATCACAAAGCTTGATAATTATATTAAAGCCAAACAATTACCAAATTAAATTGGTCCACTAAGTAGCCTGATTTAATCTGATAATTGTTTGGCTTTTATCTAAATATACTGTAGTTCTAATTTTCATATGCATTTATTGAAATATGTTTGCATTCATTTACATGTGTTTTAAGTCAATATGAGATATAAAAAAGTAATTACAAACAACACATTAAAAACAGTAAATGTACATTAAACAGTAAAACAGATTTATAAAAAATTTTATTAATGTTATTCATGTCTAAAAAATAGTATGAGGTGATTAAGTATTATAATAAAATTTATTAAGACAAATTTTATTACTAGATTACTTTATTAAAACTAAGAAAAATGAAGTTTTAATATTCTAAAATATTACTATATTGATAAAAACTTCAGGTTTTGAAACATTTGAAAATATATTTGTTTAATTTAATAACATACTTTTTGTTATGAGATAAAATTTGTTAATTAGCATGGAAGGCTTTTTCAATATATTTATACTTTATTTAAATGTCTTAATTCAGATTTTATTAAACTCAGTCATTTTATTTCAATCAATAATCATGTAAAAAATTACATTTGATCTTTAATGAGACTTGAAGAAAAAATTAGAATATAGATAAGTTTTTACAACAGAAAAATGATGAAAATTATATTTTTCTCTATTTTCTCATAATTATTGTAATTTTAAGATTTCCTTTTATTTAATAATTATAATTAAATTTTGTTATTAAAGATTTTAATTTCTTATTAAATAAATTATGTGAACCATTTATAATATGTATCATTTGCATTTACGATATTGCAATTATATAATGTTTTCAACAATAAATTATATAAATGTTTAAAGTTTAAAATAATGGAATGCATATGAAAATCTCACATTAACACAAAAACAAAAACAAAATTCAGTATATCATCAAGAAATCTAAACATTGTCTGTACAAAATTGTTGCTGTATGGCAACAACTTTGCATTATTAAATAATAGAATGGGAAATTATTCTTTAATAATTATTATTCTAGAAACTGAAATATAATTTGAAACTATTCTAAAAAATTAAGCTTAGCCAACAATTAAAAAATTACAATAAAGTAAAAAGTAGATGTTAATGAAATATTTTTAAATTTTGTTTTCATAACAGATTTATTATGTAAATTAGAAAACTAGCATAAGAACAAAAAATATGCATAACATATGATCTTTTCATTCATTAATTATTATTATACAGTATTTATATAGATAATTAAGCCTTCTTATACAACAGTTAAATTGAATGTTTTGTAAAATAATACACAGTATATAATTATTAAAAGCCAACAGTATACTGTTCAAAATTACAACCAAACAGTAGACTTCATACTAATCATTCCAAAGGAAATTTATGCATAATTCATCTTATAAATGGTATATTTTTAAACTTATTGATTATATAAATTTCCACTTAATGCTGTGTATGTGCAGTAAATTCTATTAAAAGCTTATGCGTTAGGATAAATGCAGGCAGCAATTCGTCGTATAAATCTGAAAACGCACATTATAACATAAGATTAAGCATTTTAAAAAATCAAAAAAATATAATATATATTTATACATATTATTAAAATTTTATTATAATTACAATATTTATATATAAATAGCAATTTTTATAAAATAATTTTTATTTACGTATTTTAACACGAAACACATGTACAGTACAGAGCATGTCAATTTCTTATGAATAAATAAATAAATAAACAGTTAGGCTTAAATGAACTTACCAAATTTTGTCTACAGTAAATCAGATACGATTCCATTTTGTTTATTTAATTATACATTTCGAAACTAATTTAAGATTATTTATTTGATAATAATAGGCTATACCAATATACAACTGGTAAAACTGTCATCTCATTATATTTACGTTTACAAGAACTTGGCAGACGACTTTAGCCGGAGACATTCCTTTTCTAACAACAATCCTATTGGATTATTTTATGTGACATCACGTCAAATCGGTGACGTAGATACGCACGAGAAAGCGAACACCTGCCAAAACACGTGACGGAAAATGTTTAGCGACATGAAATTATAGTCAATTGGACAAACGGTAAATGACGAAAGTTTTAACCTTAAACTTTATTGGATAAAATATACGTCACGTAAAAATAACCAATCATTATATATGTGTTTTAAAAAAACTGATAAATTGTATCACGTGCTTTTTTCACCGCTACTTTTTTTTGCTTTAAAAAAATACTGTATAATAACGGAAAATCGATATTTAATTATAAAATATTTATTAAGCTATCGTTAATTTGTTGATATGTAGTGAATTTTGTTTATATAAATAATGTTTATTTTCAGATAACAAACGATTACAGAAAAATTTATTTTAATGACCGTAATTTCATTGTTATTGATTAGTGACGTGAGTAGTTTCTTTAAAACGGCACTAAAACACGATTATTTTAAATATATTTGTTTCTGGAGAATTGGATTTCTATCAGAATAAATTAATCTAAAATAGAATAACATGAATTATTTTATTAAAATTTCAAATATAATAGGCCTAACTTTAAGAATGCAAAAATATAACAAAATCTACGAAATTGGAACTTTGCAAAGTTATTGTATTTATTGAAAATAATTAGCTTTGTCAAATTATAGGAAAAATGTCGTCGGATAATTTATGTTGCAAGTTCATAAAACTTTTTTATTAATTTACGTAAGTTTTAATAATGTTGATCATATTGAAACAATATTCCATCAAACGAGTTTAATGAAAATTAAAAAATATCGTGACGCAGCGACGTCATAGTTTCATGTAAACAAAATCAACATTGAAAGTAGGCGACGATATTGAACTCCATTTTACTAGAAAGATGGCGAAAGTAAAGGCAATGTCATCGTCTAAGCCTATGCCTTCTTTATTAGTGATATGTAAAAGAACAGCATTGTTGAATGCTATTTTCGGAATTCCCAATTTTTGTAACTGTTTGCCTTTCCGAAATGTTTCGAAAATAACGGAATGTTTATTTCATTTTTATTCTATTATTGTTTTAATATTCGTTGATACGATCAGTATCTTAATTATCTCAGAAGAAATGAACGATGAAAGGAAACACGTTCAACAGTCTACTAAGGTTTTCTCGTTTGCTTATTTCTCTTTCGCATTTTTCTCTACTTTCATTAGATTCGATTTGTTCTTTAAATGTAGAAAAATATCGAAATTTATTCAAAATTGCTGCGACTTCGAGTTGAAAAGGAAATTCGAGTACAAGCATTGCAAAAAATTTCATGTATTTTGTAAGATGATAATCGTATGCTACTTTTTTTGTTATTGTTCTGGTATAGCGTTTATTTCTATTCGTAGAAAAGAATTTGGAGAATGGTTCAAACCTAAAATTATTTACATATCTGACGACGCCTGGAGCTATATCAGCTGTATTTTGCTTATTTTTTATGCCTTATGCGGCATGGTTAGCATTTGCACAAGTTCAAATTGGATTGCGATTTTTGTATATTTTTACTATCTCTGTTTTTCTACTATAAAAAGAGATCTAAAGAAAATAAATGAAAATCGAATGTCTTCTAACTTTTCGTTTTTGTTGAATGACCTGAAATATCAATATGGAATGGCATTCAAATTGATAGAAGAAGCAAATAATCTGTATTCACCTTGGATTCTTCTTACTGTATTAGGAAATTCGATATATTGTTGTTTTGCCCAGTTTTTTGCTATCAAACACTATTACGTAGTCTATTCGATTTATTATTTATACTTTTTTCTCTCTGGTATATTTTCTTTAATATTAATTTTAATTTTGTGTATGTATGCACAGAAGATGAAAGATGAGGTAAGTTTTTAAAATTCACATTCCTATAGATCTATGAATTTTGAAATTTGTTTTTCTGTTAATTACACTGAAATTAATTATAAAGATTACCAGAATGTCGTAAGATATTACAATTTATTACGTAAATTTCGATAATATATATCATACTTATATTTTATTTTAGTAAATATTGAAAAAAGTCAGCATAACATTATAGTATATTTAGATATAACACATAATGGTAATAATGTATGTATAAATAAATCATTTTAAAAATTAATTTAAGCTTTCATTATTTTTAAAATTTTAATCCTCTATCATGGATAATAAATTAAATATATGAAGATAAAAATACAAATAAAGAATTGTTCGTGAAATTTTAATATGAAATTTTTTTTTACGATTTATATTTTACAATCACAAGAAGCTGCGTATATCTTAAAATAAGTAAAATGAATGCTAAAAATATTTAAAATGTGGTAGATTATTTCATTTTCATAACTTTCAAAGAAACTATCAAAAATACACATGAAAATTAGATGACTGCTTTTTTACATGTTTTATTTATGAATGGTTTATATACTGTATAAATAAACTGTTTTTCTTAAATTTACATTTAAGAGCAAGAGAAAACATTTACATTTAAGAAAAACGGTTACAAAATTACATTTACGATAGGACAAACGAATAATTATTTTAAAAATATATTAATTAATTTAATTTTAAGTTATTTTATGGAGGAGTTTCTTTAAACCGATAAATCTTTTAAAAACCCTGTAATTAAACTTCTTTATTGAAATTTCAATGATCAATTATAAAATTTTTAAAATAAATAACTTAAAATGAATTTTATTAATATTTTTTTGAAATAATTATTCGTTTGAATCGTAAATGTAAATTAAAAAAAAAACGCATTATTTTTCGCAAAAAAAAAATTATTTTAACAATCTTGAATCAACTGTCTTGTAGTACCATAGACATTATTTTAAAATTAACCTGTTTATAAAATTAATTTCTTTATTTAATAATTAAAAATAAATTCTCAGCAATCATTCTTATGTGATTTATTTAGACGAATAGATTTACAGTATTATTCTTATTGTTCTTGATCGAAATAAAATTCAACGTTAGATTTTACTAATAGTTTGTTATAAAATAATTGATTTGAATAATTATCTTTACTATAATAATTTATAATATTAATTATTCGATATTTAAAATTAATTTTGATTCTTGATAGAATTGATATGGTCGTGAATTTTTTTTCGTTTGCTCTTTTCGCCCTGTGGGCACTTCGACAAAAACTGTAAAAAAGGGCAAGTTATTTTTATTCGAAATATTAAATATTTGTATTATACTATCAATTATTAAGCATGTTAGCATTATACAGGACATACCCAGAAAATAAATATTTGCAAAGCTTTTGTTAATTGATGAAAATAAGAATTTACAAACGATCCATATAAAATTCTTCGGAAAAACATTATTCTAATAATCGAGTAATCGCCAATCAAGAAATATCTTAAAGGATTCTAAGAAAACTATAACTAAATTTTGTAAATGTGAGATCGAATTTCAGTAGAAAAAAATCTCATCCAGAATTTTAACTAAAAAGATTCTAAAGATATTGAGTCCCATTTTTTTAGAAAGTATGATGCATGAATCTTTAAATTATTTATTCATATAATAAATGAACATGTTTTTATAATGCTTTAAAATCCTCTGTAAAGTTGATTCAATATAAGAGATTCTGAAATCTGCAGTATTTTATAGAGAGAATGCATTCCTAAACTTAACGCTTTTCAAAATGCATTTCTCCCAAATTCTTGTTAGGCTATCTGTGAATAGTAGCGCCGGCAAAATTTATTTCAGGGGGTTCATGGGTGCATAATGGAATGGTTAATTGAAAGAAGCGACTATTTATTGTTTAAAAGTTGAATTTATCTCGTATTATATTTGACAGATTGCTTTCTGTATTTATGAAAATATATACTGTAATGGGAATTGTATGTAAATTACAATTCCCATTATATATTTTCTATTCTATTCTTTTATATATATAGGCTTATATATATTATATGTCTATTTTTTTCTCTTTTCCAGATTTTTAATTTTAGTGCAAGTACGTCTCCATATCAAACTAAAAATGTGAAAAAGCAGTCTCTCGCGGCGCCCTTGTCTGCGAAACTTAAATTAAATTAGCTTTCTTATACTTAAATTAAATTAGCTTTCTATGTTGAATTCATTGATATTTGATTTATTTCGTTTCTCTATTTATGGAAATAGCCCTACATCTTTATTATTATTTCTATAGGTTACTCATTAAATATTTTAATAAACTTTTATCTCATAAAATATTTACGTCCCTTTTAAAATGCGTGTATTTTACAACTTCAACGCGGTTTAATGTGGCTTTAATGTGGTTTTAAAAAACCACACCCCATTCTACTGTAATATACACTTCAGGTTATATTTGTCTTTTCTTCAGTTGTATTCTAATAAACTTTATTCGATATTTATTTTGCAAGATTGGTTATTTCCTATGGTGTATGAAAAGACTAAAGAAAGAAAGACGCTCGCAGAGTTCGTCCAGAATTATTGTCTTGGCAGTAAATTTTATTAAATTTTATTTTTAAGTATAAAATTATTGTACTTTGTTACTTAACTCCTGAAATTCGTTAGAAAACATACTGGGATAGCAGTATCAAATTTCATTCTAGCAGTCGAATTATTAAGTAAAACTTTTCTCTTGAAAATCGAAAACCGCATACCAGGATGTATGCAAAATTTGCTTGAGATTTGCAGTAATGAAGCAAATTGTCATGAAATGGGTAGGCTAAAATGTTATATACAGTATATACATCGCGGGTTCGTAGGTTAAAACATTCTTGTAAGATTATAACTTAAAATTTTTGAACTTCTATCTATCTTTTAATACCAGTATACTCCAATAAAGCAGTAAAATAAAGTATTCGAGAATTTAAAGGTTATTTCGACATTTTACAAAATTTTGAGATAAAATTTGAACAAAATCTAGGTAAAGTCCAAAATATGGTAGATGCATTTCTCGTGAAAATTATATATTTTAAAAATGATTTAAATAAAAAGATCCAATTATTCTATGACACTTCAATATAATTTATTTATCCACAATTC